TTTTATATACAATTCTTAAAACCGACATCATTAACAATGGAATGCGTCAAACAGTATTCACAACTATTATAGTTGCAGATTTAACGGAAATCATATCTAATACGTAAGTACACTTTGTACAATTTTTTCCGTAATCGATTTTCTACATGACAAAGCATTCTATAAATATCTTAATTTTTCTAAATTGTTTATGCATTATTTAATAATTCACATGTCGCTGGTATCAATGGAATGTTAAAAATCTTCACGAAGTATGTTACAAAGTGTTCTTGTTTATATGCATATCTGAGAAAAACGATAAAAATTCATAATATGCAGAATTTTTTTTTGCAAACATAAAACTGTTCTAGTTTCTCTTCGTTAAATTACTTGATCTATTTATACATGTATAAAATACCTTTTCTCTATAGTACTTACTTTATAGAACTATCATTTACATTTATTGATGTGTTAAACACACAGCAATTGATAACAACTTAGCGCAGTGTTTGTTGCTGATGTATGTTAATCATTTTTCGTCCTCATTCATGGATATGATACAGTGTTCTCTTAGCATTTAATTATTAAAGAAATTCATATTACTTTCACTGAATTAAACAAATATGAACTTTCTTTAAATGCGAAATTATAATTATACAATATATAAATAGTAAAAATATTTATCGTTCGTCGAATTCAGTTCAGTTTACAAATTTCTTATGCATGTTAAAATTATATAGTTTACCTAATTCAATAAAATTCGCAAATAAATGAACACATTTATCGTTTGTTAATTAAACTATATCCGAGGTAACAATATGAGAAATTATAGCAACTTAATTATATGATATTGTAGTAAATATGTATTACTAAATTGAACATTTACGAGTAACAATTAACAAAAGATTACATAAGAAAAAATAATATGTTGGCACTTATAAGTTTTTGATACGAATAAGTAATCACTCGATTTCATTTAATTCTAACTGATAGTAAATGACACTTTCATTAATAATTCGCAAGGTGAAATAATATATTTACTATACTGGATATACGTTTGCATTATGAATTAACATTAAAAAGTAGTAACAAAAAAGGCGACATGCTTAATCAATCATATATGTACAGGATGATCTATTTTCAATACCGCGTAACTTTATCTCAGAATATATGCTAAATTGAGAGAAATTTACGACTCTTTAAGAATTTTTCACAGATAATTAAAAATGAACCTTCGCTTATCTTTATTGTAATTGTTTACTCATCTATATTTAATTTTAAAACATTCACGTATACAAGTGATCTTTTTTCCTACACCTTACAAATTGTATCTCAGATTCTAAAAACGGTTTTCAGTTTATTACACTGTTCATTTATTATATAAAAATATATTTCATTTTCCTTTAACCAAGAAAAATGATTTCTTCCGAATTTTTAAATTTCTTTTCGTATTTAACATATTTTCTAGGATAAACAAATACATCAAAATAGATCAGCCTTTATATACTCGTTATTGTTGGCACTAAAAAAATGCCTTGTCAAATCGATCAATATAGTTATGGAACTGTGTGCCATAGATGTAAAGCGTGAAATATATGAAGAACAGTAACGGTGCATGTAACATATTTCATATGCAACGAACATTACTGTTCATTAAATTTTATACAAACGATCGATAAAATTGTTTGCCATTAGTTACTAAAATGGAATTGTCACCTCGGTTGATATCCGCATTACGCAATTACTTGGTTCCAACGATAATTTATATTTACACGTCGTTAAACAGACTCTTCATAATCATTACGAAGGGTTTTGAAACGACGTTTCAGTGGCAATTTCATTAAAACCCGTCAACCTACCTTTAATATTATAATGTAAAAAAATATCACCTAGAATTGATTACACATCATCTAAAAACGAAGAGATAAATTAGAACGGTGAATGGCGACAAATTCCCGAATGTTCCTGCGGACGCGCAATACAAATTGTCTCTGTGATAGTATGTGGCGGGTGGATGCTCATCGCCTGGCTTACAGGATTCGTGCTTCTCTTTCAATTCCGCCTGCAAAGTTACACGCATTTCTAATACTCGGTCGCAGATGAAATAATTTCGTTCGACGTAATCCTTACCTGACAAATGTCTTTACATGGAGGGCAGATTAGGGCACCTTTGTGAAGCCAACCGTTCTCTATTATCCTAATGGCAATTTCTTGACCAGCATGGTAGCACGTATAAGTGTAATTTGCAACCTGGAAAATGAAATACAGTTTTACCCTGAATTAGAGATTTTAATTAATTCAGTTGCAATTTGTCATGCATACACTATTGCAATTTTTAAATGTTTTGCTTCTTGGAAGAATGATTATATTTAAAATTATTTAAAAAATCAAATGGGGTACATTAATAATTATCAGCAAGTTAAGAAAGTTCTTCCAAAAAGGTAATCGCGCGAGAATTTATGTAAACTTCGCGATGCGCACTTGAAATTAACCGAGTAGATTCATTTAGTTTTAAGCAATACGTTACTTTCTAATATTTACCATAATATGCAGTCTGCCGGCCTCGCATTTGTACTGGTAACAGCCAGAACCCCAATGCCGCCATTGTCGAGCCTGATTGCACGTTCTTTCCTCCCACATCTGATTCGTATGATCGAAGCATCGTGAATGCAAACCATACTTTTCTAAAGCGAAATTCTTGTCTGGATCTGTAAAGTAAATTTATCACAAATGTTTAATATTATACGAATCATTCTTTTGTTAGAGAATATTAGACTGCAGATTTATATTTTTATAAAAAAATGCACTCAACTCTTGATAGAATTTAATTAGACGCAATCTATTAAATTTCTCTGTAAATCTCTAGTCTAAATTTAATAACAAAACGTACGTGGATTGTTCTCTTCGTAAAGGCAGTGAGAGCCTCGCACTACTATGTTTTGAGCTCTCCAAGCAAATTCTTGTATATACGGACAATAATCTGCCAAAGACACCGAACCACCGTAATATTGTTCATCTCCAGCTGGCACATGAGGAATGAAATCGAAATTCTAAGACACAGAAGATGAAAACAGGAATTATTGTTTGCGCGAGATCAAAAACAATATAAATATAATATAATGCTTCAAAGTCTTCAGAATATTTAGTGTAGAAAAATATTGAATAAGAATTTATTGATTTGATTAAAAAATTTAAATTGTAAAACAATATATAAGAAAGACTAAGTGCAACTGTTTTAATTTGAATTTAAAAAACTACTGAATAAATATTAAGCGTTTGATCGATTTAAGATATTCGTATAGCACAAAATTGTATAAGAAAATGTAAAAATGATGTGCAACTGTTCTAATGGTATTAGGTATTGAAATAGTACTTAAATGTTGATACAATACCTGATATTTTTTAGGTAGTGGTTGCGGATATACAATTAGGTTGCACAACGCTACTGATCGTCGGTCATCGGTACACTCGGTTTGCAGTGGGTCTTGTTTCACTTTATTGCAAAACGGGTGTATAGATTTCCCACTGAAATCCAACAATCGATTACGTTCGAATGATAAAATTATGTAACAGAATTGTAAAATATTTTAATGAGATTTCGGTAAAATAATTTTAATATTGTAAATTTCGAAAATACGTACGACAGTCTGGACGATTTCGTTGATATCCATTCCTTGCACGACTTCATCGAGAAGTCGCAACCGAGGTTTCTACCCCAACCCAATTCTTGTGCCATCGAATAGTTAGCACTGTACCAACCAGTATCTTCCATAAGTGCCAAAGTTATTCTCGAATAAACTGGATTTTGTGTATGCGTCCCCGTCATTGCTTCGTTCTGAAAAATAGAAAATTATCTATCTATCTATCTGAATAGAAAATTAACATAATTATGTAGCAATAACTAATGCATGATAATAGATAAAACGAAGATTTATTTGTGTTTATGTTGTTGCGAAGTGTCGTCTTTATTCCCCTACGATTTTAATTAATAAACTGCGTATTTGATGCATTGCTGCGAAAATGTGCATAAAATAATTCGTTTTGAAGGGTGAAAAAGATCTCAATCTACATTCCATTTTTTAATGTAGCATAGCAATTTTATTTTGTAAGCAAATGCGCAGTCTAATAATTAACGTTGGAATAATGTTCGATATGATTTACCTCGAACACACGTTTTTCCCAATGCGTCAGTGCCGTGCCATCCTCCCCTTGGTCTTCCAGCTCTGCGCCTTCCAGTTCCGGGCAATTGAAGTGAGCCTGAACTTCAGCGCGAACTCTAGGCGTGACTATCATTTGCATTGACCTTTCCACATAGCCACCGTGCACTTGCCAGTGCGGCCTGACTATAGTCTTGATCGTATTCTCACTCCACTGATGCGTTTGTAATCTGAATATAAAATATTGCGTATCGTTCGTGCGAATGTGTTCTCAATTATAATAATTTACCAATGTGACTTTTTATTGAGGTACATGTCTCAATTTTCTGTTCACGTTGCAATTTCTACTCACTGGCATATTTTTCTGCTTTTTTTTAGATAACACAAACGTATTTTTCTATAATTTTAAGATACTGTGTAAAATTATAGAAAATATACACCAATGAATAGAAATTGGGACATTTACCTTATGTACGATAAAAGTTACATGAAAAGTAGAGCTATCAATGAGTTAGTATAAGTCAGCATAATGAAATACTACAAAATTGTGAAAGAGTTTCGAAAACATGATTTTATTAGAATTTTGACTTGTACTATTATTATTCCTCGAGATTCGATTACTTTCATCATATAATTCATGGATGTAAACAGTGTGTTACTCGGTTTAATTTAACTTGTAGATTGATACCAAATTATTATTTGTATATCAAAAACTAATATACACTTTCGCAATTAATATGTAAAATTGCATTCACCAATTTACTTTGTATCCATTATTACTAAGATGCATAAGAAAAATTCCTTCACAATACAAATGAGTAATATAAATGTATAATAAATATGAACTGTATCATATAAAACAGAATAAAAGAAGAAATATGTGTAACATGATATACTGTTTTCGAAAGTGCGTATGAAATAACTGCTGTAAGATTTTAGTTAACAAAAGGAGTTCCACCAACTGACGTGGTTCACTCGAGGATCTATTGTACACAGATAGAAAACGTAAGAAGATTCACGTGGAAAGAGGCTCAGGCGTAGAAGGGCATGAGAAAATGCAAGTCCACTGTCAGATGAATCGTGGATACTGAAGAATGGAAACCGGAAATTCGGCGAGGATGTAACAGAAACGCTATGGGATAAAAAGAAATTGTGGATCACGTGCCAACTCTGGGACCTACTTCATTTAACCAACCCTGGAGGACAGCTCTGACAACTCTTTTTAAGGAAGACATAGAAAGAAGTAACGAGTTCAACATCGCGTGGATTAAAATCCCATAAATTCGTTCTCATCAGAAAACGAATTAATAGAAGTGATTCTCGAAGATATCTGAAATAATAGATCCGCTTCCCTGAAAGTTCAATATAGAGACATTGAAGAAGTAAAACTGGCTAACCGCGTGGCTGATAAGGAAGAAACAGTAGCATTTAATCAGTTCCTACATTTTGGATGGAGAAAGAAGAATGTGTTCGCGTGTTCTAAAAGAAAATATTTTAGCTGGATCAAAAGCTCATGCCATGCGCGCATTGAACGAGTTATACAATCTTCTGTTCAATAAAGAAGAGAACAAAACTCACTAAATGGAAATTTCAGAAAAAGGTGAAGCAAAAAATTTAAGGGATATGTACAGAATTTCGCATGGAGCAAGACAAAGTGCTGCATACATTTTCAAAGATTTATTCGATCTCTAGTTCGACGAAGGATGGAATAAAACGTATTATTTGAGAACTTTAAAGAAGGAAGGAATATCCGTATCTTACATTTCCAGTATTTTATGTGGAACACGAATTCACGCCACGAAAGGTTTTAAAGATTTGCATGACGTTTGGTTTGATCGGGACGTCGGGATCTAATTTATTACCGTTAGAACGCCTAACAATTTTCCAATGTCAAGGACAGATACACTATTCCAGTGGTGTCCAAATTTGAGAACACCTTTCCCAGAGAAAAAGGAGGATTTCATCGCCTGGACGATAAATCACAGAATAAAGCGAGCCGGATGGTACACGCAAATGTACACAATAGATAGAAAAGATATTTGCACAATGGCTACGTTCTTCAATGAACTGCTTTCTGATCAAATCCTGATCAAATACTCTTGTACGTACATAAAAAATGATACGAGATACACACATTCGTTACAGTATATCAAAACGATATAAAAAGGCATGTGCATTTATACACATATTCGTTACAGTATATCAAAACACTATAAAAAGGCATGTACATTTATGTTTAAATATTTCATCGAAGAAGAAGTAAGAATAACGTGTAAATAGTTCATTGTTAATAAAACGTTAGGTTTGTAAATGTAATCTCCAGGATATAATAAGTACAATTAATAGAAATCTGTATTACAACGTGTAGTTAAATAACAAAGTTATAATGTAAACTACATTAGATAGAACATAATTGTACTAACTATTTTTGTATATTTCATGTAATAATAAGATACATGCATAAGTACTCACTTTTCGTTTAACTGTGGTTTACCCGTATCACTCCTTCTTGGAGTTCTCGGATCTCCATTCTCATCTCGATAGAAGGCGTATAGGCTTACGGAAAATCCCAACGCGTGCAATATCTCGTGCTTCACGGTACTTAAGAAGTTTTCTAGTTCTTGGGGTTTCGTGCTGATACTTTTCGGACACAGATTAGCGTGACCAGCTATTGGCCTAGAAGGCGTCCAAACAGGTTTCGATTATATCAAAGATACTGCTAGATACATAAGTCTTTAGAGAAAGAATGTTTTTATTTATAAATATGATATGATAATTATAATTGATTTTTACATAATAATTAGACTGCGGATTTTATTTGATAAAGAATTAAAAAATAATATATTGAAATATATAATATATTGATATATTGAATATACAAACAGTGAATGCATATTGATGTTTAAACGTCTACCTGAAATGCATTTTTTAAATTCGTCATGAATGTTTCATTTAGCTTTTAAATGCGCGGTACAATGATAATGTTTGTTAATATTCGAAAATGTGTTGTCAATTTGTTGTTCTTCGATAAATATCAGCGTATTTATTCAGATAGTAATATTATAATTTAATTAGTAGATTATTGATCCGCAACAATTTATTTCATTGATACCATTATTGCAATATAGCATTGCATACATATATTGTAGTCCAGTGTGGATTTAGTAAGTACGATGTACAAATTTGTTCCTCTGAGAATATTAATTAACTGAGCTTACCTGTCTAATGCTGCTTCTTGTTGGCAGTGCGCAGCGTAAGCCACAGTTAATCCTTTATGGCATCTCTCGGTTTGCATCGCGGACACATAGAAAACAAAATCGGCACCATCTATTCCAGGTCCTGCTTTGCTGCCTTCCGCTATGCCGCAATTATGTCCCGTTGCGTTACACGTTCTACAAACCTGAGCATGATACATGCATTTCACTTCTTAATACACATAGTAATTATTCAATAATTCAAGTCTCCCTTATTATTTTATTAATGTAAAGGTAAAAATGTTAAATAATGTCTCCTTTCATATCAAAAAACTTTTATTTTGAAATATTTTTTATAAAAATTATTACTTTAGTAGATATCGAACTGGTTCTAGTTATATGCCCCACCCTATATAATTCTTTTAATAATAAAGAAAACACTCAACTCAAGTTTTATTGCTTTCAATGGGATCAGAGTTTCTTTATAGAACTGAACTATATATACTTAAATAATCATAAAAAAGATATTACTTATGGCTACTCTAATATCTTAATAATATGATTAATTAGTTTCTTACATCGAGATGATTTTCGGGTACGACCACTTCGCCGCACATTGTAGTAGGGCGACAAGTATCTATGCAGTGCGTGTGATGATCTTTCACGAACACCTGATTGCTTTCACATTTTCTGAAACATAACATAAGATTTATTTGATAGGACGAAGCGGGACAGAAGCAATAGCTGCTTTCTTTTCTTTCTTTACATCTCAACTTATTCTGTCCTTTCCGTGTTTATGAGATTTTGCCATTTTCTGTCTAAAATTTAAGATTCGCCTGTCCGAAGAGGTACGTAAAAATCAGAAAATCTTTTAATATAAGAACGAAAATCGAATGGTGTAAACCCATTTTTAGTACTGCATTTGCCAGATGATACGTAAAACAGCACAAAATGTGAAAAATTTTCCGACTATTGTTAGAAAAATTATATTTGTCGTGCTTCTAGATTTTGCTTTTGGATTTACCGTTTCTTTAAAAATTGATTTCATTATCAATTCATTCAATCGAAGACGTTCTTTCTGTAAATATTTAACTAGTTTCCGGACCATTTATCCCGTATGAAATCCGTTCTAGATAGGTATCTATTTTCTTGTCTCCCTTGGTCTTCTTGCACCCAGGTGATCGCGAGGACGAAAGAAGAAGCTAAAGATTCGGATCGTTTTTCTATCCCCGACATAAGGAACATTTGTGGAGATAAAATCTTGCAATTTCAGGGGCCTTCGAGAAGCTGCTGATGTCGGTACATATTATTCCAGAAAATTACACACATTTGTCTCTATACGTCGGGTGAATGTGGATTCAGAACAGTTATAGATATCAAATTGACGTTTTTATTCCTTACGATCAAATTGATGTTATTTAAAAAAATTAACATGACTTTGAAATCTCCCTGACATTTTTATTCATTTAAAAAATATTTCTGTCAAATAATATGCCTTCTATACTAAGTTTCATTCCATCATATTAATCATTTTAATCGTGTGCGAAATGTTCTACCTGTTCTCACTTGAACGGAACGTCTTGTGTGTAGATAGGCATATAAATTGAATATGTTCACGACCAATTTATTGATTAAAATGTGCCAGTTTGAAAGAAATTCTTTCACCGCATACTCACGAAGTTTAAAAGTTAAAAAGCGAAGAAAAATGGTATCTTCCTACGTGTCTTTCAATGCAGCACGTTCGTGAACGTTTATGTAACAAAGTGCACTTATATCCCCCATACCAGATTCTCCCATGAGTCCTCTTTATCCTTGGTTCCTATCCTACTATTGCACCCCCGCTGATGCATATATATAGTGTACATACGGTACATATCGTATAAAGGCAGGTACATGCATTTTACGTATATCAATCGATATCGTCTCTCACTGTCCCATGATAACTACATCGATCTCGTCTCTATACAATTTTATGCAACATTGCGAACTTATAAAGAAAAATAGAACAATGGTTAAAATTGTAAATGGAACAATAGAGAAATGGTCAAAAGTCATTGCCCAAAACTGTACATTAAAGAGATGTTCCGATTCAAAGACGTCGATTTTAGGTTTATCAGATAAAAAATTAAGATATTACAGGTGCAGGGTTTCCAAAATTTTGCATATATGTTAAATCTAATTTGACAAAAGTTGCTGCAAATTATCAGGAAAGTTATGAAAAAAGGAATGTGGAATTAATAATGGAAAGGAGTGCACGTATCGTTTAAATGTGTAAGTTATTGAGAATCATGGGTCCCATCAATGATTTACGTAGCATGAATTTTCGGTTAAGAGAATACTCTGACTAATCGAAGATTATGCTAATCGGTTGAACATTATGTAAATTGATTTTAGCGTGTGATCAGATTAGAGTATTAAGCAGCGTTAAGCCCTTATACGACAGGCTGCAATACATTATAACGTGAGTTATCGCAACTTGAACCAAACACTGTTGCTATTTCTTATAACAAACTATTATATAACTTGTATCTTCTAAAAACATATCAAAGTATTAAGCTAGTGTAGCTTCCTGCATTTTTTTGTCGAACGAATTTCTTTGCTGAAGATGTCTGATATGAATTCTTTTATCTCGCTTAATATGTTTAAGAACTTTAAACTCGACGAGTGTAAATGAAATATGTACACATTAAACGTGCTTTCAAAGAAGAAAAGTATGTATATATTAAGTATATTTTCTTCGACGAGGGAAAGTCATGAGAATTTTTAAAGAAGTTTATTTTTCGGCAAACTAAAAAGAATCTGAAGCGGTTTGGAAGCACTATTCAGGCGTATTTACTCGCGACGCGTAATGCCAGGAGCAAGGATTTGTTGCAGTTGACACACTTTCTGCATTACCGTCGAATGCAGAATCCATTTCTTACGTTCATCCGAAAATTTATGCATTTGGATTGATGTATAAAACAGAATTCAGTACGTGCACTCACTGTGAAATTGCTTACATCCAGATTTATTCGAACTGCATCAACTGCAGATTTTATCTAGTTTTAAGTGATAAAATAAATTGCTATGTAGATTTCATTTTTTAAATTATCATCCAGAAAAAATTTGTTAAAAAATCCACAGTTTACTACTTATCCTTATCTGATTCCAAAGGAAAATAATATATTGTTCCCGCTTTTAAATGTTAAATTTTAAGGAAGTTTGAAAGATTTTAACTGAAAATCTTGTTTGGCCATGAAAATGTAACGGCATAATATAATCCCGTAGATAGGTAAAAATAATAAAAAATGAAGAAGTGTGAGAGGAAACGTGGAAGCGGTGGGAGAGAGACGGAGAATAAACGAGGGAAACGAACCGATTAAAAGTTTGAACAGGTATCCACTGGACGCAGTGAAGTGGTGGTTGCTTAATGGATTTCAGAATACCTAAACGAACGAATGAACTGAAACGTCGTGAATTTTTACTACAATCGACCCATTTTAATCATCGTTAATACAGGACACGACTGGTGATTTCCATCTGCAACGATGAAACCTGGCATTCGATCATTTTTCTTATTGAAGAATGTTCAGTAATATTCATGATATAAAAAATCGATATTAAGATACATGAATTATTAACAGACTGCGGATTTTATGTATTTATAGCAAAATTATGTACGTAAGAAACGTGAAAAGTATTTACAATGGACAAAAGTGCAGAAAGTGTCAACAGCAAAATGCATTTTCATTATTAACATATATATACGTAAATTATTTAAACATTACAACAGCTATTATACGAAATATTGTATTAATACTTCTGTGATATATCGATTAGTATATTAAACATTATGCAATAGATTCCGTTTAATTGGAGCATATTAGAGATAGATTGATTACTTCCAATTAAGGCGAATGTAGGGATATAAAATTAAAAGCAGGTAAAAATAGAATTAAAACTGATTTATTGAGAAACGTATTTTATTTGAAATTGAATACGAATATACATTTAAACATGGAAGTAAAAAGAAAAAAACAGTAATAAAATGTTTGTGACGTTAATTTAAAGAAATTATATTCCTTTGGCACTTTATACAGTCAAATACAGTCAAAGTCAGTCGTATGTTTTCCGTGATCAAATGAATGATTTATGCAACATTAAGTAAGTGATAACAATTCGACTCATCGAAGAAACTAAATCTAACAATGTTATATGTGCATAATTTATGATACATGAATTAAGAAAATTTGATTTAAACAGGAATTGATATGAGCTATGTATCAGTATTTGACATTAGTTACTGGAGGCTGGGACGCGCTGCTCCAAAGGAACGTCATTTGTCCTATAAGGAAGATGGACAAGCGGTGCGCAATATTGATCTGCAACTCGGTAACAAGCAACGTGACATTAGTTACTGACATCTAAGTTTGGTACCAATATCAATCTTCATCACTGCATCGAATTAACGGGCTAGGATAGTCACCAACATTTGTTGGTAAAATTCTGACGTTTTTTGCTCTGTTTTATTCATTTGTTTCGACCACAAATCTATCTCCTTAAATCGAACACGTTTGTTAAATGGCAACTCAAATAAAATGTCATTCATATTTGTGGACAATCCGTTGTCAGAAGTTTTGTTTCGTCTTATTAATGCAATAACAAATACATGCAATGTTCCGAATGATTGGCACATTGTTTCATAATAGATTGATATAACGTGTAAAACTGGGTAATTTAATCATGATTTTTAGACAGAATCAGTAGAGAGATTTGAACGAAGATGGAAGAGGACCAGACTGTCTTTCGTTACTTCCGTACAGTTTTCTTTTATCGAGTTGGCCAGATCCAATAGGGATTACGAAAACTGGATGGAATAGTAGAACAGAATAGAATAGGATATAGTAACGTCTCGGCCAGGATTTTCTCACATCCTTCCCGTTCGATTCATAAATATCCCCTGGCTATAATACCTAGCTGAAAAGACTCCCATGAGCATCTACGCGATATTCGCTATCGGCACAACTTCTTCCTTCAACATCTTTACCCTGCACCATTCTAGAATCCGTTGTTCCTACGCGAGAAATTCACTTTGCCACGCTTCGTAAACTCATATCCGGTAAGCTTCGACGAAAAACCAATCTAGCAAACTTTTTTTCTCTTACCGGAAATCTGTTTTCCATTGATTAAAACGAAGTCAATAGGATCGTATTAATCGTAACTGCCCGATATACATATTTTTTAAGGATACAAGATATCTGAATTTGGAATTTTCATTATTTAAACTTGTATCATAAATGTCTTATTTTTCATAAAAATATTTCAGTATATGTAATCGAATTTACTGACGTAATGCATATTTTTGCATATTATATGCATTCTTTACTCATTTATAGTGTTTGCATATAAAATTATTCTATAATAATGTCGGTCTCGTATGAAAATATAAACGTATGAAATAATCTTGGAATTAACTTTATTAATACATTTTATCAACTTATAGATTGAACGCGAGTCGAATTAAAGATTTCCAATAACATTTTATTTTAAGATCTGGCATGTATTGTGTATACGGAAAATTGAAAAATGTTCAATCAGTGAAAAGAAAGTGATAGTTAATTTTTTACTTTTTGTTCCATTTTCTAATATTCGGTGTGAACAGTACGTTTCGTAGCATTGCTTTTGATTCGTGTATCCGCAAAAAATCTATTACAATGGTTGCGGTCTTCTATGATTACATCCTCGCGAACGTGATCGTCGACATTCTCCAGTTACTATCGCTATCTGCGGTTCCAATATACTTCTAGTCTTTCCACTTTTCTAGCGCAAAAGCTATGTACAGCTTGGGACAATGATTCTCGATCCGTCTTTGTGTATTTTTCTAAGGGAACAAGACTCCAAGGTGTTATAAAATCTATATCTATTTTCTTCAATTCTCGAGCGACAGGTTGAAAATATATAGCAAAACAAGGAAAAACACATTTTACCAGATTTACACACTCAGGGATCGAATTTTGAAAAATCCAGAAAAGATTTTCAATACTCTTGTAAAGTGAGATTTTGGTACCAGAAACCAGTCTGATACTCTAAGTTAAAGAGATATTGCAAAACAAAGAATAATACATTTTATCCCATTTCCACTTTTAGAGATAGAATTTTGAAAAACTATTATTCAGTAT